CCATAATAATAATAATATAATAAAAAATGTAACCGTGAACTGTTTAACTTAAAAGTTTAACATGTAGTAGTTTAATCATAAGGGTGAATATGATATATACGGTAGAAGTTTAACATGTAACGTTAAAAAGATAAATCATTTAACTTAAAGATAATCACAAAACATGTTATGATCAACACAAACATTTGTACATGAGTAAGTTTTAAGGGTGTTGTTAATTTGTAATGTCAGTAACAGATAGGGACAGTAAGCGCATGCACGAAATATTCTAGCACTGTTGAATGTTGATTTTGTCCACAACTTCAAATATGGCGTGGACTAAAATCACTAATTCCACTGTTTTTGTTGTGGTCCTTAAGTCCTTTCCAGATTTAATTATAATGCATCGGTAGTTTAATGTTATTAATGAATCATAAATTATTATGTTTATTACAAATATTAGACTTATAATAATGGTAATGCATGATTAGTTACATTATAGAAATATTTTACACGGATGATTAATCAGATTCAAACTCATGATATAAAAAATTTATTTAAGAGAAATTGTAATCGTCATTAGATAGAAGCACACAAATTTAAGAGAAGTTGTAATCCGATTTAATGTAACCCATAAACCCGAAGAATATATTGGATATCAATCGGATTTGACGGTTTGATTCAATGCTATGGGCTTGGATTTTTTTAAAGGCAAACTTAATCATATTAGGTTCGGATATCAAGTTTTCAAAATTTTATCCAATCCAAACAAAGATAATTATTTATAAAACAAAATATAAGACCTAAGGTATACCTTAATAACGTACTCATTAATAACTTATTAAAAAATAGAAGTAACAACATTCTAATTTAACTTTTCTGATTTTTTTAAAATATTTTTTATTACTATTTTAATTAAATTTTGTACATTTTATTTTGTTTTCTAGTCTTTAAAAATATATATTTTAAAGATGAAAATGTGAACTCAATAATCTATCTAAAATATCCCAAACTTGATTGAATAAATTTTTGATCCAGATTATACATATTTTAAAAATCTCAAAATCTGATCAAGTTGAAGTAACTTTTTTGATTGGTCAACTCGCTGGATTGAAATGTTACAAATAAATTATTTAAATAAAATTATCAAATTTAAATGATTAATATAAATAACTTCAATTTAAGCTCGCCAAGATTTTGATATATGACTCCCCTACTTTCTATTTTCTTTACTTACTTATTTCCCAAAAACGCAAAAAAAAAAATGAGTGTAATATCTATGTAATGACAGTATAATGATTTATACGCAGTCAGTGTGTCAGCTATCATTTTTTTTATTATTTTTATTTAAGAGTTAATGATAATTGAAAATAAATGTGAATGTTATATTGAAAGTGTAAAAAATTCTATAAAACATACATATTTTTCTTAAAAAAAATATTGGGTATCATATTTGCATAGAAATTTTAGTGTTGATAAAGCATTTTCCTAATACAAAATAAACAACTTGTGACCAAATGCACACACGATAACAAACTTATAATATTTAACATGAGAAAAATCAAGTGGGCAGTCCAATTAAGGTTTATCTTAATGTTGGTTTTTGTTTGTCATTTGCAATTTTTGAATGGTGTCCTAATCTTATGAGGTAGGTTCATGCAAGGGAGGTCGTAAGTGGGGATGAAATTAACTCCAATAGTTACGCCTCCTATTGACTTCTCTACAATCTCTCTCTATTTCTCACACTACAATACATTACATATATCATACCTATATATATAACTTAATGTTTGTGTGCTTCATTAGCTTCTCCTATATATTTTTCATATAAAGGTAACAAAGCACACACACATATATATATATATATATATATATATATATATATATATATATATATATATATATATATATATGCTCCCAGTATATATAATATATATATATATATATTTCTCCGAACAAAGAAATTAAACTCAGCGAATCTTCACACAACAAAGCTTGCCATATACCAAAGTCATCCATAGGTTGTAAGAACTAAGAAAATCATTTATCGAAAATGATTTCAAGGGCCACATCAAGCTTCAATCATCAAGAGTTTCAGATGTTTCCTTTGACTGAACATTTGGTTTCACAAAATGTTGAAGTTGATAACTCTGATGGTGGCTCAGGCTCTTCTTCTTCTTCACACTCTAGCTCCCTTCTCTTCTATCTCTCTATTCTCAAAGATAAGCTTAGTCAAGTGCAGACCCTGGTTGGTGTTATTCTCTCACCAGATCAGAGTTTACCCGAGTCAACATCCATGGCCATATCAAGCATGAACTCCACAATCCACGAAATCATAGTCACTGCCACTTCAATGATGTTGACTAGCCAAAAGATGATGGATCCTCCAGGTACTACTACCACTACTAATGATTGCACCAACGAATTGCACCATCAACAGATTGCTCAATCAAATTTTGGTAACAATAATAAAGCTGCGCTTAGTAACATAGACCCAAATAATAGAGAAATGTTAACAAGTGTCCTTAGCAGCACCCCAAATGAAAATATTAGATGTCAGGGTTTCTTTCCTAGTACCGAGTCTGAAGCCCTGGATTGGTTTGGTCAAAGCTATAACAACAATAGTATGAATAATATTAATAATTGCAACCTTAAGGATGAAGTTGCAATTAGTGAAAACAATAATGTGTCACCAGGAGATCATGAAAAAGATGAAAGCTATAATATTAATAGAGGGACTAATTCTTCAACAAAGAACTATGATGTAATTGAATTAGATGCTGATGATTTGTTGGCAAAGTACACACATCATTGCCAAGTTTGTGGTAAGGGGTTTAAGCGTGATGCAAATTTGAGGATGCATATGAGAGCTCATGGAGATGAATACAAGACTAGTGATGCATTGAAAAACTCATTGAAGAATAGAGGTACCTCATTGGGTAGTGTTAAGCCCATTAAATATTCATGTCCTCAAGAAGGGTGTAGGTGGAACCAAAAGCATGCCAAGTTTCAACCATTGAAGTCTATGATTTGTGCAAAGAATCATTACAAAAGAACACACTGCCCCAAGATGTATGTTTGCAAGAGATGCAACCAGAAGCAGTTTTCTGTGCTTTCTGATTTAAGGACACATGAGAAGCACTGTGGGGACCTCAAGTGGCAGTGCTCATGTGGCACGACATTTTCTAGGAAAGACAAGCTTATGGGACATGTTGCTTTGTTCGTTGGGCACCAGCCAGCTACCAATATTGGCTTCTGATACTCAACATGATTGATCATGAAGAGGTGCTCTCTCAACTTCACTCAAATACTATTATCCATAATTATTACATATCCAACAATGTTACCTCTATAAAAAAAATTATAGAATATCAAATCTTGATAGCTTCATTTTTCATAAAAGAATTATTGGGGATACCACATTTTCTCTTTCTTATTATTTTCCTCATTTTTAAATACAAAGTTATCTACCTCATACATATTGTTCATATTATTTATGTCTTCCATGAAATATCATAATGCTATTTGCATACCATTCTACTAAACTAAAACTACTATTTTTCATTCATTATTACGGAAGTGTTTTTTTCGGTTTGAAGTTATTTGTAATAATAGTGTACAAATTCTAGTGGGGAAATAACATCCTTGGTAGATTACATGTATGCCATCAGTGATTATTTTCAGAAATTGTTATGTATACAGTTAACTAGAAAATCTACTTCACTAATCCAATGGTGTTCCTTTCTAGAGCTCATGTACTAATTCATATTTTCACCAACATAACTATTTGGGTGAAGCTTGTGTATGTTTATGAACCTGGGATTCTGCATGCGTTATTGAATTATGGTTTCGTTGCATTCAGTTGGCTGTGGCCCCAAGAGTTTGTGGCGCTGGCATGGCACTTTGGGAGGATTGAATGGACGGTATTTTATCTTGCACTTCAGTATAGGTGTATTTGTTCTTTTAATTATCTGATTACGAGTTCAATTTTTAGAGAATAAAGGAAAAATAAGTCATCTCAAAATTTAACTCAGCAAATAGAATTGAGAAACTTAAACTTAATTAAAGCAAATAACATTGTGTTATATGGTTTTCTTTCCTGGGTGGTGTTTTCTACCAATTACTCAGTCATGGTTTTTTGTTTATAGTTGTATTGGATACTCAATATAGATATTATATCATCATGAGAAATTATTGACATTTCAATTTACATTTTCACACCTTTTATGTACTGATCACAATTTTAAAAAAATTAAAATTAAATCATAATTGATAAGAAAAGAGCGTGAGAACAAATTAAAATGTTAATAACTTCTTGCAACATCTTATTATAGTGTGGGTTGACATTAATGAAGTAGATTTTCTAGTGAACTGAGTATAATATAAACACATAGAATACTATTGTATTGCATAGAAAGCTTGGCTCTATTAGAGAGGGTAGAGTGTGAGTCTCATCAACATTCACCAAATTCTCCATGCACTTCTTAGGTCACATTATCTTTTGAACAATGCTTCTTACTGAGGGAAAACGAAAACATTTTTCTCACTTCATACCCACAAGGCCACTAACTTGTCTGGGTCAAACCCGTTTCTTATGGGGCGGATACAATTCAATTCCCACTAATACTGCTACCCTTATCGATCCATGGGATTCACAGTACTACATGATTAAAGAAGGACTCGATTGACGATTCTTACATTTTATTTTTATTTTACATGATAATTAGTAATAGGATTAAAACATGAAATATATAAATTGATAATAAGTAATTTTCTGTATAGATAATGATTGTTTCTAGGAAAGTTCCATGTACTAAATTTGTCGAAACACTAACTTAATGTTTATTTAGCTTGTTGAAAAGTTAACTAGCATCCGTATTGACTACGTGCAATTCTGCTTATGAATGGGGATCGTTGTGTTTTGTAGGCATAAAGTATAAATAAGAACAAGTCCCACATCGTTAGTGAAGAGAAAAGACTTAGTCTTTATAAAGCTGTTACAAAACAGTGAAGGTCAATTGGGATGAGGAGGCGATGTGATTGGGTCCATATGGGCTCAGGAAAGTCCCCGGGCCTTAACTGCAGCGATGCAGCCTTGGTAACAAGGAACTTGTAGCAATGATTCGACCATAATGGGCTGAGACATGTGTGGAGCCTAGAATCTAGCACAAGGTGTTGGCCAATTTCACAGCTCATTCACATGGTCCTCGTGACTAACTGAACGGGGCTTATGCCCTCCTCATCAACCTTTTTTATCAATTCTTCTGTGATTTCTTTATTAAATCAAAATACTATGTCACGTGGAAGTAGATTAATTATGGTAATTTTCAAATTTTAGAGATGTCACTTTCTTATTTTCAATTGATGTTATCTCGTATTTATATTTGATTATTCTCTTTTTGGTTTGCATTATACATATATTTTTCACTTAGGTAATCTCGTTCAAGCCATGTATGATTATAATGAGCCCCAAAAGTCTTCCTGCCAATAGTAATGTAATCTTCATACATTATATCATTCAGCTGATCTTTAGTATTATACATATATAAAATAAAATATAGTAAAATATGTCATATTATATAGTATGAATAAAATATTTTTTTATAGGGGAGGGATCCACTTACTCCAAAAACACTTACTCTTCATCTTAGCCATCCAATCTTGAAAAATTCAATGGTTTAGATGTACTCACCAATTCAAACCATTGGATTTCCAAGAATGAATAGTCATGATGTGGAGTAAGTGTTTTTCCACTTACTCTTGGAGTAAGTGGATCCCTCTCCTTTTTTATATAAAGAGATAAATTATATTATTCAGTCACTCAAATCATGAATGTGTCTTATTTATTTTTTATTTTTAGAAATATTTTTTTAGGAAATGATTAAATATAACACATGTCATGATTTGAGTGTTCGAATGAGATAACTTATCTTCCAATAAGGAGATATGTTATTCTTTTATAGTATTATACATTTTGAAATACTTGAATAAACTTTAATTTAATAATTAATTTGTAAATAAAAAATCAGTTTATTTTATTCACAAGATAATACCTAATTATGTAAAACTTTTTTGAAAGGAAAGTATATAAAATTTAAGCATATTTGTAATTTATCCTTCTTAAATTACACAATCTTTCCCAATTATTTAATGGAACAATATTTATGTACACCAATATATTATACTTTCATTTTCAAAGCTAGGTTTTAAATCAAAATCTAGATTGTTAAATGTCATACTTATAGATATATCTTGTCCATTTTTTCATGTGAAAGATAGATTTACTATTAAACATGGACTAAAAGAAACAACAAAATTAACTCGGTAGGTTCCTGCAAACATTAGAGATATATTTTATTTGATGTGTATAATCACATATAAATATAAAGCTATGTATAAGTTCACATCATCATTTGTACTTTATCTCTAATGCTAGTCCACAACCAAGAAAAAGAACCATCAAAATTCTAAGACTCAAATAAAATGTCAAACGCATATTATAATTTACATCGTTTCAACATATATAACTTTATACGAGAGGATTCAAAATGATACATTGATACACTCATGAAGCATTACATTTTTTTAAACATGAGTTTAATCTTCACTCAGATGTGTATGCAATGACTTGGTGAGATTCAAAAAAAGTGTAAGAACTTCCAGTTCAGTAACTACAATTACATATTCTTGCACGTTTCATTTCAAGCTATCAAAGACATAGCAGTTCTTTTCCTATATACAAAGGGGTAACTAAACAATTTAGTTCTCAAAATTAATTTTTATTTTTAGTTAATTAGTCCTTAAATTTTTGTGTACAAGTTTGTTTTTATAATTATAAAACTCGTATTCCATAATCCTCCGTAGAGATTAAAGGTGATTAGAAAAACAAACATGACAAATTTTATAACTTCAAAAACTAACTCACAGGTAATAAATGGTAGTGAAAAATAATAATTTAAAGGATAAAGTGACATATAATTTTGATGAAGACAGCAACAAAATTTCCAACAATATAATCATATGAGACTATGTACCATCAAAACAACTCATAAACCCTTGCTTTAAATGCAAGAGACTATGTACCAAAATCTCTCAGTACTTAGATTCAGGTCCCTAAAAAAAGGGTGCCCTACGAGGTATTCCTTTTCTTTTCCTTGAATTGTAGGAAACTGGACGAGGTGGTTGAATAGGAGGAGGAGCAATCACAGTTTCAGATTCTTCTTTGTTGGTTTCTTCTTTCAACTCCTTGTCCTTTTCTTCTTCTGATGACAATGTTGCCATTTCTTTAGGTATTGTCTTCGCTTCTTCTTCGTCTTTCTTCACACCTAAGACGAATCTCCCACTATCATCATTCCTTATCCATTCAAACTATTATCACATAAACACACTGAACCATTATTTTTTGTAGCAAAATATAATGAAACAACATTCATCATCAATATTGGAAATGTACAAAAAGAGGAAAAGATATGTTATACCACAATATATCTAACCAGTAAAAAATTCTATTAAGGTATTGTATATTGTAAATCAAGTAATTAAAATTGTAACATTTTTAACCAATTAGAAATAGTGACAACACAAAAATGGTGAAGGGTAAATTAATAATAGAACCTTGCATTCTATTGAGCAAAAACAAAAAGGTTCCAGGAGAGTTCGTCCACATGTCATGCACTCTGCAGTGTTTTTGCAGAAGTTGTTTCTTAAATTACCACCACCAGTATTTTTTGTCTGAGATATACAACGACCCCTTTTGTTCAGAAAAATAACTTTAGCACCATTAATCACAAATGTTTGAACTCCATCAATCTCCAAAGCCTTCTCAATATCCCCTACCCTCACACATTCTTGATATGATGACCTCCTTATCTGCATTGTCACGTACACTTATCTATTATCATCTATCAATCCTTACATCACTACCATTAAAATTGATTTTAAAAACTATAACCTAATAAATAAAACACAATTTTGGGAATTATAATGAAACGATAATTAAATTAAACCCTAACTTGAATAACATGATGACCCTTATGGTTAGTGGGAATGCAATGAGAGCAGAATGCGTCGTCCGTACAATCAAGACAGTACTTGTTGCACTCGTTCCTGTGTTTGTTGTGGATTTCACATCCTAAGAAGAATGTAGTTGACAGAAGATTTTCCAGCCATGCTGGCCCTTTCAAGTATTCCTGAGACAATTACACGTCAATTGTAAATTTGTAATAGCAATTACATGATTAATATTTAAATTAAACTAAGCAAAAGAGATTAAAGCATGACAAAGAATTAAACATGGCATTGAGATTGAAATGACTATATATTATTACCACCATTGTGCCAAAGAGAAACAAGACAAGACGAGAGAGGTTCTAGAAGAATATGAAAAGAAAGAGTAACACGAGAGTTTATCAATAAAATAGCTAGTGATGTTGAGCATGACAAAGTGAGTTTATATATGCAGTGTTATTTCAGATGAGAGCATGGTAGGTTATTTTTTTAGTTTATAATATTAAAATTATAATATAAAAACACAATCTATACAAGAGAAGACACACCTCATTTGGTGTTTTCTCCGACATCAAATTCTTGGTGACGTGTTGGGCTTGAGGATAGTAAGAAAATAAAAGGAAAAATAGTAATAAGTGAAGGGGAGGGATCCACTTACTCCAAGAGTAAGTGGAAAAACACTTACTCCAAGAGTAAGTGGAAAAACACTTACTCCACATCATGACCATTCATTCTTGAAAATCCAATGGTTTGAATTGGTGAGTACATCTAAACCATTGAATTTTTCAATATTGGATGGCTAAGATGAAGAGTAAGTATTTTTTGGAGTAAGTGGATCTCTCCCCATAAGTGAATAGGGTCACATGTATTAATGCATATGTGTGTGACAATGCATCTCACATGAAATCTAACTTGTGGGTCTACCAAAAACCCAAAGAAAACAATTCAGCACAGAATGCAATAAATGTAATGCTGTTTTTGTAATATTTGACATTTTCTATAAATTATTTGCAATATATTTATAGGTAAGTAAATTAATAAAGGTCTCATTTAGTATTTAGTATCATTTGTGCATTCGCCATAATATTCCAAAAAATGCCCATTTTACCTACTTTCTCAAGAAGTATTTACCTCTCTCTATGTTCTCATTAATAGAATTATACAAAATAATATAAAATATTACTTTATATTTTTACAACTTTTTTTCCCAACTAAATCATACATTTTGATTGTATGGGATACCATTGAAAACATTAAAAGGGTCAGCAAATCTTCATTTACATTTATCACCTTACTATAAATAATTTTTTACATTTATCACCTTACTATAAATAATTTAAATGCAATTGATCCTCTATTTTATTATATTAAACTTTTATTTTATTTCTACACGCGTAAGGAAAAAATCTTGAGAACGTTGATCCAAATCTTAAGAGGAAGATTCTCTAAAATTTAAAGATGAGGTCTACGAGAATTTCTTTTAAATTAAGTGACATATATGTTGGTTTGTTTAATAACACTCGTGAGCATATTAATTATTAGAGTAATAATATATTCTCTTGTATTATAAGAAAATAATGTGTAATTTTTAATGAATTATTAATAAATAAAATATTGAAATAATTGAGACTTGCACATCACCTGCAATGTAATGAAAATATTATAGTAATAATAGGAATATTATAATATATGTATTGAAACAAAATTAATAATAGGTAACAGCTAATAATATGTATAATGAGTGATCTTTTTAATAGTCATAAAAACTGACAATTACATTCACATTTGACAATTTGGTTGAATTTTCTCACCTCACTTTTAGTGTCTAATCTTTTATCATTATTATATTTTATTACATATTAAAATCATTTGAGATGTGAATATAATATTTGTTTGAATTGCTTTTATATTTCCATAAAAGAAAATTTTCTTTAATTATCCTGTACATGTTACAGGTAAACGTACCATTTACCTTCTGACATTAACTAGTTTACTTAAATATAATATCTAGTATTAACCAAAAAATATAATATCTAGTACTATTCTTTTTTTTAAAAGAATATTTATTACTATTCTTACTATGACTTTTATTGGAAAAGTTAATGTGTAAATATACTGATCTTTGGTTTGTACCAGTTCTTGTTTAATGTTAATGCGTACTGATAACAAAGTAACTAAAGACAATTGTATTTTCAATACAAAACTCTACTTAATTCCTAAGAGAACAAAAATATAATTAATTGATAAAAAGATAGATATGATTATTGGATAGTGTTAGAATCGGAAATAATTTTTTTAAAACTTTAAAATTGTAAGCTAGCAATAATTCTAGAAAAAAGGAAAAATGTGAACAAAAGAAATGTGGAATTAAGGGAATAAACTTATTATTATTATCATCTTCTAGTCTTTGTTATAATACATTTTCAACTAAATTACAAAAACTAATAAAGGCAGTTAGTT